TTATTTTACAGTTAAAATATATGTTTATCAAATAAAGTCTAATGTTACAACTAATCATGGATCCCTTTAATCACTCATTCGTTCAGATCAGAAGCTGCAGCAGAGAAACAGATAAAACCTGCAGGATCATGATCCTCCAGGACCAGGACCTGACACCCCTGTAACAGACCATTTAAAACCAAACTGGGTTTCAGGCGACTAGAAAACAAAAATAAACAGAAATATTAGATTTTTGTTGACAATAATCAATAATCTGATCACCAGGGGATGGTCTTTTTTTTAAATTAAACTGTTTCACATTTGTTGCATTTATTAAATATTTTACAACAACTGGAAACAGAACGTGAAATTGATCCACTTGTTTGGTCTAAAAATGGTTCAGGTGTAGAAGAAAATCCGTATCCTCRTGTCTTTTGTTACAAAAGCTGCAGCTGAAGAAGATATTTTAGTTTGGCTGGAGCAACATACTGAAATACTCTAAATCTATTTTTACTCTTGTTGTTTTAGTTTTAGTTGTTTTGGGTCATTAGACTCGGATCAAGCTTTCAGACACTGAGCGGCACATTTCTTTTCAGATGGACTTGATATTCTTGAGATTTCACTGAAACCTGAACAGATTCAGATGCAGCAAAGCAAGTCCAGAACTAAACGTCCTGAGGAACATCCAGCTGCTTAGAAATTTACCTTTACTATGATGTCAGTCATTAACGCTTTGACCTCAGGTTCAGCCCTGTGACTACCAGACTGACTAAAAGACACACCTGTGTTTCCCTGAGCTTTATGTATAAATGTAGGGCTGGGCGGTATGACCTCAAATTCATATCACGGTATAAATKGAACCCCTTCACAGTAACGGTRTATATCGYGGTAGAAAATTATCAGAAAAAGTTAAGATAATGTAATTTTTAGAGCTTTTTTTTKTGCAGAAAACTGTAATTTTAATTAAACCCAACATTTTTTGCTTTAATATCTGCCWGCCAAACAATAAGCTTCTCCCTGCTGAACTTATCAGCTGATCTTCATCATCAGAGCAGAAGCCGACTTTACATTAGCAAGATGAATTTATGACTGAACAAACGTCCACGTCTTTTTTAATCATCTCTGTGGGTAACAATACATAAAAAACTTTATTTTCCTCCGACAACTGGGTGTGAAAACTACAGTTGTTAAAGCTTCGCTCTGCGCGACGTGCAGCGAGAGGAGAGGAGAGGAGAGTGGAGGAGAGGAGAGGAGAGGAGAGGAGG